ATTTTCCATTTCTGGAGGATAAAAATAGACGCTGCCAAATTTTCCATTTCTGGAGGATAAAAATAGAATTCGTGACGTTTCGTTTCACCGGTCATAGCCGCGCGTGCATATTTGCTAATTAATTAGACTAATCGCGCTTCAATAGACTCAAAATTCACAGAGATTAAGGCTAAGACATGTGTCTATAATAGCTAGAATTTATAGAAATGTAACTCAAATCGTTTGCTCCATATGATAGTTAGTACACGTTCCTACCCGTTATAACATAGCGTATGCGGTGGGAGTGGGCGGGGTCTATTTTTATCCTTCAATCACAGGTCGGAGCAATTCCTCTGTTTAGACACATGTCTTCTACCAGGGTAGAGAAATGTTACTGCCACTGTGGCACACTATAGTCCACGCCATGGTGGCAGCGCGGTGGAGTGTTTGTAGAATGAAATCGTGAGGTAGTTGTTGGAGTGAAACGTGTCGAGGATGCATATTGTAAAGATAAACTACGGCGAATCTTGTAGTTCCTCTCTGGAATCACAATTCTAATCTTGGACTTCACTCGTCTCCTGCTGTAATGAATCGTGCGCATTGGAGAGCGGTAGAGATGGTTATTTGGCATTGGAGAGACGTGTTTCGTTTTTGCAGTTAAAAAATTTAACTTCTTCTACTTACTTCTTTCAGTTACAGTCGGTGAATAAGTGTTTACTCCGTTCGTTTACAGACAGTAAAGACGTTTACTTCGTCCAGTTGCAGCTGGCGAAATCGTGTTTTCTTCTTTAGGTTGCAGTCGGTCAGGGCCGGACTGGCGATCGGGAGCACCGGGAGTTTTCCCAGTGGCCTGGCCTCCAAAAGAATTTTGTTTCATTTTTTTTTAAATAAATCTGCAGCCTGCAGGCCATATATTTCGCGCTATATATTTCCCGGCCTGAATGATTTTTCCAAGCCGGCCCTGCAGTCGGTGAAGATGTGTTGTTTATTCCTTTCAGTTACGGGCAGCGAGGACATGTGCGTATACTTCTTCAACATCGAGAAGGAATCGAAGGCATGCGTGAACAAGCTGCAGGGCCACAGTGCGCCCGTGTTGGACGTCTGCTTCAACTACGATGAAAGCCTGCTCGCTTCCTCTGATGCCTCCGGTCTTGTCATCATATGGAGGAGGGAGGAGAAGGGTTCTGCTCTTTGAGCATGACTTCATATGGAGAAAGGAGGGTGTGCGCTGTGAACATAGTTTCTTGTGAAGGAGGGAGGGTGTGGCGCTGTAAGCATGGTTTCTTGTGAAGGAGGGAGGAGAAGGGTTCTGCTCTTTGAGCATCACTTAGCGAGGAGATGGGAGGAGGGTGTGGCTCTGTGACCATCGCTTAACGAGGAGAGGGGAGGAGGGTGTTGCTCTGTGAGCATCACTTAACGAGGAGAGGGGAGGAGGGTGTGGTTCTAGCATCACTTAACAAGGAGAGGGGAGGAGGGTGTGGTTCTGTGAGCATCACTTAACAAGGAGAGGGGAGGAGGGTGTGGTTCTAGCATCACTTAACAAGGAGAGGGGAGGAGGTTGTGGTGTGTTCTGCATCAATTAACAAGAAGAGGGGAGGAGGGTGGGTTCTAGATATTAACGAGGAGAAGGAGGGGGGGGGGGGGGGGGGGGGGGGGGGGGGGGGGGGGGGGGGGGGGGGGGAGGGGGGGGGGGGGGGGGGGGGGGGGGGGGGGGGGGCGTGGTTGTGGTTCTAGCATGATCGTAACGAGAGAGGGGAGGAGGCTTTGTGCGTTCTGATCACTTAGAGGAGAGGGGAGAGGGTGTGGCCCTGTGAGCATGACTTATGAGGAGAGGGGAGGGTTGGCTCTAGTGAGCATCACTTGCGAGGAGAGGGAGCTGGGTGTGCTCTGTGAGCATCACTTAGCGAGAGAGGGGAGGAGGGTGTGGCACTTGTGCGATCACTTACGCAGGAGAGGGAGGAGGGTGTGGCTCTTGAGCATCATTAACGAGGAGAGGGGAGGAGGGTGGTGGTTATGTAGTCATGATTTCATGTGGAGGAGAAGACGATTATTGGGATATGCTGCATGGCCATCAGCGCCAGTCTCATTAGTTACTAAACACTATGTTACGCAGTACGAAGTAAAATATTGTAAATGGTATATGGATATTTTTCATTTGTGTTTGATAGATACCTGATATAATATATGCAAATGTGATTGAATAATTCATCGGAATTCCTATAGTTCACATAATAATTAAGTTTATCTCAGTTAGATAACATAATAAGTGTATAACTTACTTAAACGATGAGGAAGTCTATCGGGAGATGGACGGAATTTCGTCGATTGTAAGTAATTACGATTATGGATCTAACTGAGATAAATTTATTTTTATTGCATATTGTTTTAACTTTATTACTATGACGATGCTGTTGATGAGAATGATGTGGATGATGATGGATGATGATGATATTGTGTGATGATGTAATGATGATGATGCGATGATGACAATGACAGCTGAGGTGGACAATAATGATGATATAGCTCAACATCACCATCATCATCGTTATCATCATCATCAGCATCATAATATAACTGGATAAAAAGCATTTAGCCTACACTTTTGATGAAATGGTGAAATAAGTTGGAAATAAATCGTAAATGTATCAGATTAAGGTATATGTATTAAATTCCTTTTTGTTTTACAATGTACAACATTTTACAAAAACGGAGCCATGCACATAATTAATATAAGATGTAATTAGCCATGTACTGCCGAACAGTGTCAAGCTTGTATCAAGGCACACGCTCTTCCCATGTCTACGTAGTAAAGCAATTCCATCCATTCAATAATTAAC